AATGAAATTTTTTATCACGCTACATTTTTAATAAGTACTATTGGAATGAATTATCAAGCAAGTTTAACATTTGACTTAGATTTCTATTTCTTATATAATTAATATACAAATATAAATGCTATATTTCCTGTGGTGGTTTGATTAATTTATTTTAACCTCAGTTCCCTCTATGAAATGGGCATATTAATAATACTTTAAGCATTATGAAGATCAAATTACATCATTAATGTGAGGGTACTTTGAAAAATATTGTTCATTTTTATTACTGTGCAGAGTAAAGTAGTGGTTTTAATGGCATACTGCCATAGATTTCCCTTTGGAGTCTATTTGTCCAAGAAAATCTCCAGTTGAGAAGAGATTTATTTAGATACATGTAAGCTGTTTTTGTCTTACGGATATTTAGTTAGTGCCCAGCATGGGACATTCCTCAGCCACCAAATGAAGACTCAGAGCTGGTTTTTGTTTATAGCTCTCCTGTGTTTTGCCTCTTGGAATATTTCTTCTCACTCTGACTCACAATCCACTCTCCTCCAGCACTGCAGAACTCTTGTTTCAGTTTGTGAACCAGTTCAGTGTATGACTTTGGGCAGCCCTCTCTTTAGACCTCAGTTCTGTCATTTAATTAGATGGTCTCCAAGGCCTCTCGCAGTTCTCACACCCTCTGACACTGGTCCACTCCTATCTCCGTATCTTGTGTTTCTCGGCTTTGCTAGCCACCTGCTCTTCTACCTTCTCATAATACTTCTTATTAAAATACAGCCACACAACATTTGCAGAAACCGATGCTGAATATAGATAAGGATATGTTACAAATTATAAACACTAAAAAACATGGCTTCACTTTTTCATTAGGATTTGGTGAAGAATTGCTGTGACTAGACCAATGACTCCTTATGTCAAATTTCTCTGAGTTCAAATCCAGACCAGCCACTGCTTCCTGGTGTCCCGCTTCCTCAGGGCTCTCTTCTGTGAAGTGAGGAAGGTAATGTCTCCTACACTGACCGTGTGAGGAAGGTTCTGAGCACAGATCTGGTGCTCAGCAAATACTGTCCTCCCACACCTGCCTAATTCTGATACTCAGACATCAGAACCCTGATGATTTATTGATTGTGCTTTTGACACAAAAAAATAATGTGGGTTCATAATTTGAAGTGCTTTTTATTCAGCTGTCTAGTTAAATCTGGCCAATTGACTTGCCAATTGACGATTGGATGATCTTCAAGAAACATAGAATTTTTTATAATTAGCAAGGGTTTTAGTCAGGTTATAAAACATTCTATGTTTCTTAAAGATCATCCAATCATTAATTGGCAATTAGAAAGGGTTTTAGTCATGTCGAGCCTTCCCTGATAGCTCAGTTGGTAAAGAACCTGCCTGCAATGCAGGAGACCCCAGTTCGATTCTTGGGTCGGGAAGATCCACTGGAGAAGGGATAGGCTACCCACTCCAGTATTCTTGGGCTTTCCTTGTGGCTCAGCTGGTAAAGAATCCGCCCGCAATGCAGGAGACCTGTGTTTGATCCCTGGATTGGGATGATCCCCTGGAGAAGGGAAAGGCTACTCACTCAAGTATTCTGGCCTGGAGAATTCCAAGGACTGTATAGTCCATGGGGTCGCAAAGAGTCGGACACGACTGAGCGACTTTCACTTAGTCATGTTAAGACATCTAGGATGATTTGATATTCATTTTCCTTTTCAAACATTCAAATTAGTTAAGAATTAAAACTAATTAATGGGGAACCAGGCCCTTATAAATGTATTTTAATACTTCATAAACAATTTTTTACCTTAAGAGGAAAATTTGATATCCCTCCTAAAGGTTTGTAAATTAGATTCTGTGAATAAACTCTAGGAAGACCTTAAACTCCCTGATATTATATGCAAAATTGTGAGTTTCCTTTTCCTGGTGAGGGTGTCCCTAGTTTTCAACAGACCCAACAGTGTCATAGATATTCTTCAATGAGTATATGGTAGCTTAAAGTGAAGTAGATCTGTTTTTGTTTGGGGAAATAGGATAATTGAGTTATAATTTATCTGCTGTCAGTGTCAACATATTGCTTTTTTAGTTTAAGAAATTAAAGTTCTATACAGAAGTGCAAAAATAAATTTAAATACAAAAAGAACCATAGAGTTTGTAAGGGTTTTCTGTTTGTTTTTTATTTGTATTGTGCTTTTAAACTAATATAGATTCGTGGGAAGCATGAAAAGTATTACAAAACATTCAGAATATTAAAACAGATATACTACATTGAACTTTACATGATGTTTTCTGAAGACTTCAGGGATTAGTGTCACATGTCACAGGTGGATGTTCTTGGGGTGCTGAAAATGAAAGTGGTGTGCCCACAGAAAAGACTAGCAGAGCACCTTTGCCATTCCTGTGACTTTGGGAAAATAGGGGGAAAAAAACTGCCTAGGTCTTGTCACAAAAGAAATTGGTCCTGATGCTTTCTTTCATGGTCTTACGGGTTTTGAAAAGGACTACCAAATGGAGAGATTGGTGATGTGATCCTGGGGGTCCATGGGTAAGGCTGAGTATGAAGATTGAGGAGTCCTGTGACTGGGCCCTTGGAAACTGAGAGGGATATTTCCTCACATGTCTCACTGTAGGGGTCAAGGGCCCCAGTTGTTTGTACTCCAGAGCCTAAGGTGTCTGAATGCACCTGCTGACCCAGACTCTTAGGTCATGTGTATTCATGGCCCGGGAAAAAGTAGGTTCTGATACGAGCAACCGAAAAGGGGCCCTAGCCCGTCACCACAGTTGGCTCCTTCCTGCGCCCCCACCCCCCGGGAACAGCTCACATGTAGCTCCAGCCTTGTCAGTGTGAAACATTATCACAATTAGAAGAAGTAGTACATTTTGTTTGTATGACTGTAAATTGCTGTAATATAGTTTAAAATTGTATTTATCATACTTATAAATTATTTATTTAAGAACCAGAACACCGGAGAGAATTAGTCACTGCTAATGAAACATAGTCACTTCTTTAGAGCTAAGTTATTGAACTGGCCAGGAGTGGAGAAGAGAGCTCACTTCAAAAACATGTATAAATAGTGCTGCACTTAAGGATTCTAGGCACTTCATAATTATTTTTCAGTTCAATTTGAAAATATATTCCCCCAAACTCAGATAAACGTGTCAGTCTCATTAAGTGCTAGGAAAAAGATGCAGCTTCCCCGTGTCCCTGCGGCTTCAGTAGAACTTGTAACTCTAGGACCATATACCCTTGCCAACTGCAATGCATTTGGAAATTGAACCTAAGAAAACATATAAATAGTTTTCAGGTCAAGATAAAGAGAAATGAAACAGATGTAACTATCCTTGCTTTTGTATGTTTAAAGCAACTTGACCAGGACCAATTTAACAGGAATTTCACTCATAAACTAGAGTAGCAGGCCTAAAATTTCTAAACCAAACTTTTGTGCTCAGTCATTAAACTTTTGTAATAAAATGGAAATCAGAAATCTAGAGTTAATCATTATAACATAAAACTGTTGTCTTTCAAAAAAGGTGAAAACACTTTAATATAACTTACATTGTTTCTACACATTAGATGTAAGAAATAATTTCACTTAATCATAAGTACAATTTATTTGATTAACAAAATCCTAATTTACAAAATAGTAGTAAATATATGCAGAAATATATTCATTATCAAATTATAAAATAAAATTAACAATTTGTAAGATATCATCAGTTTATTATTCTGATTTAAGATAATAGAGTTAAATCATTTTGGTATGCTTAATATTTATAAGTATTAAAATAATGGAACGTTGAGATTTGAATACAATGACAGTAAACCATTGAAATTTCACATTCACATTATACAGCCATCATGAATCCATAAGTGAAAGCTAATAATGTAAAAAAATATAAAATGATTGTAATATAACCATCTAACCATTAGCATGTGGAGTTTTAAGACCACTATTTAATCAACTAATTTGCTCCGAAATATAAGCATTTGCTTTTATGTCCTACATGACATGTCTTTGTGCCTTAATACTCAATTTGAATGTCCTTACTGTAAAAATATACCAAAGTAAATAAAAAAGGAGACATTTATTTACAAAACAATATTGTATACATATTATATAAATGCAACTGTTTCAAAGTCTTTTTATACAATATTGATAAAATCAGTCATTTCCATTATTTATCCTAAAAGCTGCAGTATTGCAAAGGCAGGCTATAATTTTGAGATTTTGACAAAAATGAATACTTTTTGACTGCCTTTTAAATGCAGCTTCTCCAAGTATGCTACAGAATTGAATGTAGACCTCTAGAAAAATGATTTTTCTTTTTTATAGAAAATCCATTGCCCATAGGGAGGAGTGTGAAAACGCACCTGAAGAAAGGAGAAACTTATTACTTTACTGAATGTTTTTTACTTGATAAACCTGATAACATCATCCACTCAGCCTATTGTATTAGCACCATTGGCATAAACTGTTAATGTACTGTATCAATCAGAATAGGAGTGGTAACTTGCATATGGTATACCATCCCTATTTTGTGGAATCTCATCTTACCAAGTATGCTATCATACAATATAAATTCAAGTGTTTAAGGATGTTTCAAATAATGGTATATAACAATACTGCATTTTACCAATACTACATATAGATTTTTCTGTAAATATTAAGTGAAACTGTAAAGAAATAGATTTTAAAGCATACTCCTTTAATTCACTGGAAGACAAGGAGAATTGCTTTCATTCACCGGCATATGTTGCAATATATTTGAACATAAATGGAATTTGATCTCCTAGTTCAAAAACTCTGGAAATCATAAAACTTCTTATTATACGATTTGTTTTGATGGTTAAATGCCAACCATTGCATATATTCTCTCTTTTAGTTCATATACTGTAGCTTGTGCTTAAGTGACTGTAGCATACTCTAGGCTTATAGCCTGTGGTACATAATTTCACAGTTTCAAAATTGTTGAGGGGAAGACCTTCCGTGTTTTAGGAAGCTATGAACCAAATATAAATCTCATGAGCACCCACAGCGATCTACTACCATAGCTGGAATCTTCCCATATATTATTTGTTCTTTGTCATTAAAATATAGCATATTAATTGGAGACATCTTTGTAGGAGTACAGCAGGGCCCGGCTGAACCTCTGGGGTTCGCTTGGTGCACAAGATGGGTATGAGGATACTTTTGCAAAAATACAAATTCACATTCTCCAGAGCAGTAATTGGCCTTATATCTTTTAGGTGCAATAATCCAATCCCATCCAAAAGCTTCAAAATCCACAGTTAGAGGGTAACGACAGCATCGAGATTCTGTGGAGTGCTCATCACAATCGAGCCCAAAATCTCTCCTAGATCTTTTTGGTGTGTCTGTTACCTTGACTTCTAAAAAAGGATTCTGTATGGAAAGGAAAGAAGAGTTAGTAAGAGATCCCAAAACACTCTCCTACCTCAAGGACTCATTATTAAAGCAAGAAACTAATCATTTTGCTTGCATCACATTTCTTTTTAAAAGGCACAGCATGAAGGAATTTTCATTTACACTAGGCTTGATTCTGCCTTTATGGCTCAAAAGTCTACAGTAGCCATAGGGATTCCCCTGCGGTCAGATCTTTGTCTTGTTTATCCTTGTTTTCCTCAGTTTGAGTATCTGAATGCCTGACATAACAGATGCTCTGGAAATACTGACAGATGACAGTAAAGGAGGAAAGGAAGAGAAAGGAGCGGGGAGGAGAGAAGAGGGGCCAGGGTAGCTTATGTCTTCCTGCGTGTTGATTAAATATGGTGGCTGAACGTGTCTGATGACTCCTGGAGGGATGGCATGCTCATTCATCCTCCATTCACTTGGTCTTATTCAGGGACACTTGGATATTAACACCGAAACAAAATAGTTGCCACCGAGTACTGCACAGATGCAATGGGAAGAAGGAAGGTAGAGTGATGAAGATAGCGGTAAGCGTATAGGGTTGGAAAGACCAACTCCACGAGAGAGGCACAGATTCAGAAGATACAATGATGTTCCCTTTATTCTTTCACTGAAAAATGTTCCCACTCAGTTATTTAAACAACAATTTGCTAATCCTTCCCCTGTACCAATGTACTTTTCATGAATTTGTACTTTTCCCTGTACTTTTCATGAATTTGAGATATTTTTCCTTCTATATGGAAAAGTTTGAGGAATACATCTTATTAGTCATCTGTTTAATAATAACTAAAATCTGTCACATAACCAACTTTGATTATTAAAATGCTACCTAGAAAAAGAACACATTCTTTTTTATCCTATATTAAAATCAAAATAGACCTGGTAATTATTGGTATTTAAGATTATACAAAATAACATCATTTGGGGAGTCAATAACATTTTATGTAGTATATTTAAAGAAAAATTGATCACTTGGAAAATTTTATAATCTCTTAAAGAATTTGTTTTCATTCAGATATGATTTACTTTACATTTAGATATCATATTCTTTACAAATAACACCATTTAAAAACTAAAAAGCTTGCAAGTATAATCTTCTGCTGTAAATTAAATCAATAAATGGAAATTAAAAGTATGGTCACATTAAATAACTTTTTGAAAACAGAAGTAAATACAAGCATAGATAAGCCAGAAGAGTGAGTAGCTCTAAACTTATACTAGGTTTTAAAATGTTTTTCTATTAATTTTTATGATATATAAGGCATTATTTTCTGTTTGATTTTATATTAAATTAGTTGATATTACCTAAGTTAACTCCTACTAAAGAACAGTAAGACTGTTCAGAAAATAGCTGGGTAGTACAAGTTAACTAGCCTGAAATTTTTCATTTTATCAGGGGTAATTCACAAAGTAATCCACATATACATCAGTGCATCAATAGTCTATAAAACAAGAAACCTATTTATCATGAGAGATCTTAAATATAGTATATTTAATAGTATATAAGCCTAAACATATATCTAGTTAATTTCTATAAGTAAAAGCATCTTATTTTAATTATAACTTTTAGAGTTTATTTTTCTGCTTTATTAAGCAAAAGAATTTAAACAAATTTGTCACTCTTCTGGGGAAAGAATGTGTTGTTAGGTGTGTACTAGAATCCACTGTGAAGACTTCATGTTTTTATTTATATAATCATGTAGCACATCAATGGAAAGCATTTTATATTTCATTCTCAGTTCAAAAGAATTCCCTAAAAAATTAAGGACCATGGTATACCTTTTTTTTTTTAATCCTCACACAAAGTAAAAGTATCAAGAGAGTGTTTCATAGGATGTGAAACTGGACACCTACTTTTATTGGGTACAGGGCTACCATTGGGGTAAGGCACCTTTGTCTGGCTTATAAGCACAGGAAACTGGTAGTTATTTTTCACTACTGCTCATTCACATTATTAATAAATACATAACAAGGTTTTTAGCATGTTATTTTCAGTAATACTTACCAGTCCATCTTCTCCTGGTTCTGGGAAGGTTACAGCAAGATCGTGGCCATTCTCATCTAAAGCTTTGATCTCAATGCCTAAGTTGGATTCAGGTTGTTTGAGCCAGTTTTGCAACACTGTCTTCACGTCAATGCTCTGCCAAATACCAGTGCCTGGGTTCATGTCAAGTTTCAGAGATCGGATTCCAGTATACCTTGTACCGTCTTTCATGGGTTTGATGAGTCTCAGGATTTGCACAAACACTGTCGTAGGAGTCTTGACAGGTCTCAGATATATCCACAGTTGGGCCTTTACTACTTTATTGTATTGTATCTTAGAGCTAAACTGAAAGAAGCAACATTTGGGTTTTCCTTCCACTTGCGTTAGAAGATCAGCTACAAATGAATAAGAAAAAAAGTTACGAAGATCATTTTTATGAAAAATGAACAAATGCCTCCATGTCAATCTATGAGCATTTTTTTAGTGGAATAATGTGTGCATATTTAGTCTTTTAAAATGTAAAAATATGTAGCATTTCATTCATGGCAGCAAAATATCAAGTATAACAATTATTATAGCTTTTCAGAATCTTTTAGGTATATGTTTTTTCAGCTGTTTATGAGCAGCCTACTTCCTTTCCAGAGAACTGTGGACTAAGGAAAATTCTATTAAGGAATGAAAAGTGGATGAAATTTTAAAATGATGATGATTAGAGAGAACAAGAGACACTGCAGAAGAACATCCACTTAGAATTCCTTGGGAATCTGAGAGTTACACTTACGGAGCAGCTGTACCGATCAGTCTGGAGAAAGGAACCCCTCCCCCAGGCCTGAATTACCTGGGGGCAAGACACGCTGAGCAAGAGCTGAGCTCGGGAATTAGTAGAAAATACAGTGCATCTGCTATGCTAGGGCGCTGGGACAGCCTTTCAAAGGGGAAAAAAAAAAAAACTAGCAGGTAATTAGCACCAAAATTTAGATGTTGTATTCAAACTATTTCAAAACTTAGAAAACATTGTCTTTAGGGCCAGGCTGTCATTGTAAGCAGAAGCACTTAGCAATTTCTTGCCTTTTTGTTTTCTCAAGATTGTTTATAAATAAGGCAAATCTATTCCAGGATTATCTGATAGCACAGTCCTAAAGGAAATCTATTTGTTGCCTTATAACCTAGTTACTTAGTAAGAAAAACCAGTATTTTGAAACTGTTTTGAGTCCAGTTTAAAATGGGTAGAGCACTGTATAAAGCAAGATCAGAGAGAGACACATGGTACAAAAAACTTTCTTGTCATGCCTTCTCTGTTAGGGTGCCCCTTCTCCCTTTCCTTGAGTATAGGTTTTAACTGCCTGCAACAGAAATGGCATGAAACATACTATCTTTCAGAAACAACACAGATACTACATACAGGTAATAGTTCTCCCTCCTATAAGGAATAAAATAATAGTTTAGAAGGTTATTAAGCATGTGCTCCTAGATATGTGCAGACCAGGTACTCTCAACAATAGTACCATGGTCAGGGTATAAGTGGAACTTTGTAAGCCATAACCTACTCAATTAAAGTGTTTATTTCTTAGCATTTTCTGCTAATTAGCTCATGATTTATCATTATGCAGTGTTTACTTCCTTATTGCTCTTACTAATACATTGTTTATTAAGAATATTTTTTATCCTTTTCACTGTAATGGCTTTCAAAATTAGATACTCTGTGAAGAACATAAAAACCCCATGAGAAATAGTTTTGAATAGCAGAAGTCAATCTAAGTGTTCAGCAAATGTCCAAATAGGCTTCACCATCTACAGATTTCTTCCTTTCTCTTTTATTAGTGAAAAAAAAAAAACCCTGTTATTATAAATGCATATTTCAGGCAACCAAATGCAATTAGGAAATTTCATGTAAACTTTTCACATTGCTGTTACTGTCTCCCAATCCTTTACCTTGGTAGCATTAAGCTGTGAACACATAAACATGTTATAGTTGTGTAAACTATATAACATGAATGCTATGCAAGCATTGCATTTTTTATTTTTAGCTTTTCAGCTCTCTAAGGAGACAGTGTAGCAGCTTTCAGTCTCATTAGTATATTTCTCAGGAAATCTTGAAAGAAGCTCTTTTCCCTCCTGCTTACATGCAAGCCAGCAGCTTGTTAAAAGAGCCTGAAAATAGATCGGTTTCTCATAAACACTAGAACAACAGTCAGCAGAATCGTGGCTCAGCCCTAGCAGGACTACTCACACTCCGTGGGCATGGTGATGACCGTTTCCGTCGTAGCGTGGTAGTCATCATCTTCCAAGGAGCCGTCACTGCTGTCATCTCTCTGGACGTCGTACTGATCAATCAGTTCCCGGAGTGGAGGAGCTTTGGGCAGAAGTTGTCTTACAGCATCTTTGCTGATGTTAGGAGCTGTTTCCAGGCGAAGTTTACTGAGGATTTGGATTTTTATGGCTTCTAGTCTTAAGGATTTAGTGTTTTGTCTCCACAAACATGCATTACACAGCCCCTCTTTTTCCACATTTTCCTTCTGCTCGCTGTTCTCATTCAGATCCACGGGGCCAGCAACAATCAGCATAAATAGGTAAATATAAACACAGATTTGCAGTTTTTGCATGGTTTTAAAATCAAGACAATCTTTTCCCTTGTTCTTCCTTCTTCCGTTTACTTTTCTTTTGCTTTTGAGTAACGCCAAGCCAAACGTTAATGCCTGCCCAGGCTGAGAGACAACTTGACACACCAGTGAATCTTTTATACTGTATTCCAAGTGGCTTTTTATATTCCAACTTTGATGAGACAAGTGTCGTCGGGATCTGTGATTGGCTCATGCTCCACAATGAATCTCGCTGTCAGAGGTTAAAACCCTGTCTGTCACAAGTCACCAAACAGTATTTTGTTACAGTCAAGGGTGAGCTGATTCATTTGACTACTTCTTAAAAGGAATAAATCTATGAATAATAAAGGCTGTATGTGACATTCGAAAAATTAAAAACTATATTAACAATAACATATACACTTAGATCTTATTCATCTTTATATGTGAAACTTTAAAATTATTATTTAAGTGAATAAATCTTAATTTACACTTCATGCTTAAAAAGTTGACATGTTCTTCCCTCAGAAAATAAAATGATTTTATATTATTTAAGCAAGCATTTGAAGTAAAAAGAATTTTATTTGTTATATTAAATTATTTTTAGTCTTGTATAATTAGAAAAGTACAGATTTATTTAGGAAGACTTAAATGAAAAGATTGTGATACTAGTAAAAGATTTTCTGCTATAATTTGAGAAACTTGTTTCCCTGAATAAATTCTTAGCACATAATGAAAAATCCTACTTTAATATTAAATTGCTCGTGGAATTATTTTTAAATAATACCTTTTATTCGTATGAAAATTGCATTTCAGTTTCAATTGACTACTATTAAGGTACTTCCTATCCTAAAGTTGCAGATTAATATTGCTCAGAGGATGTGTTTTTTCATTGTTTATTAAAAAGGGGATATTGTCAGCTATTTGAACTTAGAATAACTTAGAATGACATAGAATAAGAAGATAGTGAGTTTTATGATGGGTAACGAAGTTTTCCTCTGCTTTCCAGTGGTAAAAGAAAAAATGTAATTACCTACTCTCTGTAAATTATATCTGAACATTGTGAACGCAGAAAAGGAAAGGAACACCGTAATAAAGGGTGCCCATTTTTCTACTCTCACTACTGTGCTAGCACATTTTTATACTTCCTAGTACTGGGCTACTTCCTAGTACTTCCTTTGTCCGTTTCTCATTTGACCAGAGGGCAGACACCTGGCAGGGATTTGGGGTAAGGTTTGGGAGCAGAAAATGGAGCTTTTTGTTCTCTAGATTTAAGTGGCCCCTGTAGGGATCAAACTCTCAACCTTAGCTTTGGGAGCCACAAGGTCTAATCAAATGCAATATTAAAAAGCTAAACAAATATAGCTAGCAAGAAACAGAAGCTGTTTCCAGGCCACAGGAGATTTATTTTTCCTACTACTTTTGGGGAAGCTAAGGACTCCTAAGAGAGTTAATCCATTACTTTTTTTCCCAAGAGAGTGCAGTGGTTCAAATCAAATATTTATTTTTTAGGTCACTACTTTCGCACATTGTACACTAATTTACTGCCTCAGTGCACTAAAATGCAACTCAGTAGCCTGAAAAGTTAATGCATTTTCATCAAATTCTTAAGAGGTATCTACATCTCTTGAGAAAAAATGGCCTTACATAATGCATTAGATTTGCCCATCATTAAAGATTAAGGAAAACCAGACACAAACCAGATGCCCTGAAGGATTTCAGATAGTCTTTGTTGTGGAGCAGTATTAGATCAGGCTTATAAAGTTTTATTTGTTTGGTAAATTTATTTTTCAACATATAAATCTTTGTAATGCTATAATTGTAACATATGCCCCTATGCACTTCTGAGCAAATCAAATCTTTTTTTCCCTTTTAACTTGATTAGAATTGTGTAGCAGTTGAGATCTCAGGTCCTGGAGTCAGATAGACCTGAGTTCAGATCTCAATTTGCCACTGTGTAATAATGAATGAGATACTTCTCTAACCTTCAGTTTCCTCATAGAGTGTTGGGGGCATGTAATTCAATAATACATGTAAATTGTTGAGTACAGTGCCTGTCATATAGTAAGTGATTGATAACTGATACTTGAGTACTTAGTCTTTGTTTCATACAGAGGGGTTTGAGATTATAGTTAAATTTATCCTCCACATGAACTAGAACTGCTTCAGTTTGTAGTTAGTTGCCAGTTACCAACATAGGCTAGCTCTCTAGTAAAATGTTGTAAGGCAGCCCTGTGAGCCCCTTCTCCTTACTGCCTGGAATAAAGGAAACAAAGATTTTCATTTCCATATAGTCAGTGCTCGTTATTCATGGATCCCATGTTTTCACATTTATCTCTTGCTGAGATTTATCTTAACTCCATAATCAATACTCAGCGCTTTTATAAGCATTTGTGCACATGCACAGAACAATGAAAAATTTGAGGCTTGCAACACACAGGATCCCAGTTGAGGTCAACCAAGTCAATTCTCTGCCTTGTTTCAGCCCTCATACTTGGTGAGTCCCCTTTTTGCAATCGATATACTACCATGCTTTTTATATTTTTGTGTGCATTTAGTGGGGGTGGGGGGTGATCCTGTTGCTTACAGTGCCCCCCAAGCATAGTGTTGAAGCGCTGTGCTCCTAGGCACAGGATGACTGTCATGGAAAGAAGAATGCTGTTGCCATGGGGCTGGAAGAAGGGTGCGGTGTGATGGGGGAAAGCTACTGTTCAACAGATTCAGAGTTTTCAATTTGGGAAGATCAAAAAGTTCTGGAGATGGATGTTCATCATAGTCGCACAGCAAGGTAAGTGTACTTAATGCCACTGAACTGTACAGTTAAAAATGGTTAGTCAGTTTCATGTTATGTATGTTTTGCCCACAATTTTAAACAAGAAGGCTGTGATAGGACTGAAGGAAAATTTTTTCCTCATAGAAAAAACAATGTGTGTTATGTAAGCTTCATTCAGGTTTCAGTTATAGGGCTTCTAGCTGTGAATCCAATGTTGAAGAATCAGCAGTATGTATTAAATAAGATATTTTAAAAGAGAAGTGCACACAAAACAAGGTTATTTAGTGACTGGCTAACAAAAACATGACCAGAGGCTGACGGGAATCTAACCTTGTAGCTCCCCTAGGGGCAGTGGTTCAGTGATCACTTATGCTGGCAGTGATTGGGTAGAACATAACTACTGTGAATAATGAGAGTCAGCTCTATCCAATCAGGATCTCCATAGGTCAGTATTGAATGAATTAAGAGGTACTCAAGAAGTTTCAAGAACATATTTTCCTTCTCCAGTGTCGGTGATTGCAACCTTCCTGTGACTTCCGAGCAGCAAGCTTCACCAGCAGTAGGAAGCTTCACTGCCGTCTGCCAGCCGGGGGCCTAACTTTGGACAGGACTTTGTTGCTACAATGAGTGCGTAGAAAATTCCTTCTAGTCGACTGGGAGGGCGTGCCAGCCACCTTGCTGGCTTTGTCTTAGCCAAAGCAGCTTCTGCTCACAGCAGTCCAGAGCTCCTCTTCCTAAGACCTGTACTTTTCCTGCCCCTGTTCTTTGTACTCATGGGCCTTACATCTGTGTAACCATAAGCAAGGTAGCAAGCAAACTCCTCTCATCTCTCTTACAAACACCATGCGGCGGAGGGGAGGGGTGTGCCTTTCAAAACAACTTTGAGAGTATAAAGCATATCTCCCAAAAAACATTAATGGTTTTACTGTTGGCATTCTGGAAGCTCCCAACTGTTATTAACATAAAAGTTTGCCAGAAGTTTAATGATGTGGCCAAAGAAAGGAGGAGACTCAGAATAAGGATGAATCATGAAAAATTCAACTCTGTTGTGGGAAAAGAGAGAAAGATGCATTTTATCTGATCACTCTTGCCATTTCCTTGTGATGATAGACCTTTGGTATAACACTATTCTGATTACACTTAAAGCCAGAAAAAGACTGTATAGTGCTCAATTCACAAAACAGGATGAGAAGGTGCCATCCTACAGTGGCAATATCTGATTATCCATGCTCTCAATAGATTACAGAACAAAAATGAACAAAAACAAAAGTACCCTTGACTCAGAGAGTAACAGTATGGAATAGAGATCTGGAATATAGTTCTGGGTTTCTTGCTGACATTTTATGTGACCTTAAATAAGTCAGATGGCAAAGCTTTCATTTAGAATGCATGTGTGTGTGTATTGTGGACCCTTGGACCACACAGGTTTGACCTGCATGGGTCCACTTATATGCACATTTTTCACTAAATATGTACTGCAGTACTGCACTATCTGAGGTTGGTTGAATCCTCAGATGCCGAACCTTGGATATACATGTATCCAAAGCTGACTGTAAAATTATATGTGGATTTTCAACTTGGACAAGAGTTGGCACTTCTAACCCCTGTGCCGTTTGAGTGTCCACTGTATTAATTCACTTATTGTTTTATGAAATATTATAATGCCTATTATGTGTCTTATAGAGGACGAGATAGTTGGATGGTATCAGTGACTCAATGGACATGAGTGGGAGCAAACTCCAGGATAGTGAAGGGCAGAGAAACCTGGCGTGCTGCAGTTCATGGGGTCGCAAAAAGTCAGAGATGACTTAGCAGCTGAACAACAACAAATTATGTGCCTGGCATTGTGCTAAATTCTGAGGAGAAAACAGACAGAAACAGTCACTGTCTTCATAAAACCTACAATCTTCAATTGTAGGTTCAGTCTTCTAGATTCTTCAGTATAGAATGGAAATTTGATGAGGTGTGCTCTTTCACTTGAGGTGTATCCCCTAAAACAGTAATTCTCAAACCTTTTGGTCTCAAGATTACTCTGAAAAGTTATTTAGGATCCTCAAAAGCTTTTGTTTGTGTGGATCATATCTATCAATATTTAATGTATTATAAATTAAAAATGGGAAATGTTAGAATATAGACATATGCAAACATATTCTATTTGCTGACAGAGTAATGATGATAGCACATAGCTTGGAACCTCTGGAAAACTCGACTATACATGTAAGAGAAAATGAGAGTAGCAAGGAAATCTTAG